CCAGAATAACCTTTGACAAACGTCTTTGATAATACTTCTGACAACACTAAGGCTCTAATCAAAATTGCATTTATCAAAACACAGAAATAAAGTGAAATATTTACCTAAAACTGTCAGTTTGGTTCCTTGGCCAAAGTAAGCTTCGTTAGCATTGTCACAGTGCAAAAATACTCAGCATGAAACTCTTTTACGCCTGAGGATTGTGTTTACTTATAATCCTGTCAATACTAAGCCTCTGATGAAAGGTACATTTTTCAGAACAGAGTAGTGAAGTGAAATATTTACCTAATACAGTCAGTTTTGTGCCTTTTCCAAAGTAAGCTTCGCTGCCCTGACACAATGCAAAAACACTCAGCAAGAAACTGTTTTTGCACCAGAATTATCTCTGAGGATTGTCTTTACTAATAATCCTGTCAGTACTAAGCTTCTGAATAAAGGTACATTTATCAGAACCCAGAAATAAAGTGAAATATTTACCTAAAACTGTCAGTTTGGTTCCTTTGCCAAAGTAAGCAGGATCAGTGGTGGTCACAGTGCAAAATAGTCAGCATGAAACTTTTTAGATCTGACTAATCTTTGAAAATCCTATTTACTAGAAGTTTTCTCTATACTAAGGCTCTAATTAAAGTGACATATAAGAAAACACAGTACTGAAGTGAAATATTTACCTAAAACTGTCAGTTTGGTTCCTTGGCCAAAGTAAGCAGGTTCAGTGTAGGTCACAGTGCAAAATACTCAGCATGAAACCCTTTTTGTATCCGAATCCTCTCTAAGGATAGTCTTCATGGATACCTCTGTTTATACTATGGTTATAGTTAAAGTCATATTTAACAAAAACTGTAGTAAAATGAAATATTTACCTAAAACTGTCAGCTTGGTTCCTTTGCCAAAGTAAGCAGGGTAGTTGTTGGTCACAGTGCAAAATACTCAGCATGAAACTGTTTTTGTATCAGAATAATGTGGAACAATAGTCTTTACTAATACTCCTGTCAATGCTATGGCTCTAAACAAAGTTACAGTTCACAAAACACACCAGTAAAGTGAAATATTTACCTAAAACTGTCAGTTTGGTTCCTTTGCCAAAGTAAGCAGGTTGTGTGTTGGTCACAGTGCAAAATACTCAGCATGAAACTCTTTTTTCACCAGAATAACCTTTAGTTAGTATTAATGAACATTTATGTTAACACTGAGGCTGTAGCCAAAGTCATATTTGTTAAAAAATGGAAGTAAATTTTTACCTAAAACTGTCAGCTTGGTTCCTTGGCCAAAGTAAGCAGGATCATTGTAGTTCACAGTGTTCTCTGTTCAGCTTAATATTTCTGCTGTTTTTATCAACAAATTTTTCCTTCACTCTCATGCTGACATTTACACTCTTTTAATTATAATCGACTGAACCGAAGCTTTGAGATATACAACTTACCTAAAACAGTGAGTTTTGTTCCTTTTCCAAAGTAAGCTTCAGTTCCAGAGTCACGCTGATGTCGTCCTCTGCAAAAAGCTTTCAAAACTTTCCAGAAACATCCAGTTTACATGTATTCTAATAATTCAGATGGACTTTAAAAGCTTAGAATATCGAGGGTGAGCTTCACATTGTCCAAATTTTTTTAGTGTGGCAAGATGACGGGACAGACATCATAATGCTGCTCCTACGAACAAGAAG